GCCTCTGGTCTTTCTCATTGTTTGGTAAACTGCTGTGTCTTTTCTTGTTGGAATATTGATGTTATTTGTGAACTAAAACAAGTTACTGCTATTCTGCATGTTGTACACACTTTTCTGAGTTTCAGGGCTTATATTTCACATTGCTTCCAGTAGTTAGTCCTTTCTTTAAAGTCTGTGATTCATAAGAACAGATACTGCATTGTAGAAGCTTGGCTGGAGATGGGGCCCTTGTGGCGTGGGTGCTTGAGTCCTTCTGGAGGTCAGCAGTTGTGGATGATTCCCAGTGTCATTGTGAAGGTCTGTCGGTGAGTCAGTGTGAAGCATCCTGTTTTTAGGACTCTGTAGGGTGTCAGTTGCAGGAAGAGGTTTTTAATGAACACCTGGCCGGGACAGCTGAGGCCAGGCAATGCCCACCAAATGGCTACCAGATATCATGAGTATAGAGAGTATAGTTCATGGACCTGCTGGTGCCAGGGGCTTAGTTGTGTATTCTCCCCAGGCTCCTGAGTATGTTAGGAGTCTGGTGTGGGAGGTAGTGTGATGGGTACGGGAGGAAGGCAAGAGGATGACTATGTAGCAGTCATAGGAGCTTGCCCCTAGTTGTCTTTCATTGCTGGTCTCTGAGTTGCACCTTGTTTTTCTGTTTTAAAGAGCTTTGTTCTGGAAGCAGTACTGGCTACTTAGCAACTGTGGGTGGGCTGAAAAAGGCAGACTTCTGGAGGTTGCTAAGGAGCAGCTATGAAGGCCCCTGGTGAGATGGAGAACTTCACCAGCAGAATGCAAGATTTGAGCAGGGCAGCTTTCCTGTAACAGCGCTGAGCTGAGGTTTGCACTAGGCTAGGACATTAAGTAAATTGGATGTGGTTTTGTTGCTTCAAAGACTTTTTCGTTTTTGAAAATTGAACTTGCTTTACATTGAAGTTTGTCTCTGTTCAGCCTAGTACAGTGAATTAGGCAGTAAATGTTATCTTTGCTTTACCAAGGCAATTACTGCTGACACCCACAACTGCTGACCTCCAGAAGAAGGGCCAGCTCTTTCAGCTGAATGGAGGTACTTGTCATTCAGCACTGTGTAACCTACTGCATGTCTGCTTGGGTTTCTGTATCAGCGGTGCTCAGGTGTGGGGCTGCAACTGTGAAAGGATGGACAAGATACAGGGGTGAGTGATGAGCTCTCCTAGGGTGGGTGGTGATCAAAGAAGGCTTTCGGGGAGATGTGATATCTCAGCTGGAGTTTAAAGGGTGATTAGGAATTCTGTGAACTGTCAAGGGGCAAAGGTATTGCCATGTGCCAAGGTTAGAGGTCTAGGATGGTGTGGGCATTTGGGAAATAATTGTCAAGGTGGTGTTGGTGGAGTATCAAGTATGTGTGTCTGAGGGAAGCAAGGCCTAGCCATGGAAGTTCATATATATGTTCTCTGAACTGTATTGTGGCATATGGAATTTTCTGTATGAGAGAGCCATGTGGAGTGACAGCCTAGATGTGAGTTTGGCCTCTGTGCTTGTTAGTCCTACAGGCTGAGACAAGACAGTATCACTGTGGTAGGTTGCTTGAGGATGATTAAATGATGTAAAACACAGTGCGTGACACATAATGGTGCTCACTACAGTGCCCTGGTTGCTTTCCCTGACTGCCCTTCCTCCCTGCTGGGGATGGAGGTTCATGGAACACAGGCTGCTCATCTCTTATTCACTGAGCTTGGAAAGCAGGTGGCATCAGTGTCTGTCTCCGTAACCACAGATTTGTGTGTGAAGCAGCTTTCTGTGAACTGAACTTTCTGTTCACTGGCTTTCTGTACATTGATTCCTTAATGGGAAGCTGGATGATTCTGAAGTGTAAGGTGTCCTTGTTTTTGGAATAAAAAACTGGAGTAAATGATCCTTCAGAACACTTTCCTTTGGCTTGGTGTTTGATGAGTATGCTAGGTTAAGTAGCTAGACTCAGAAATAGTAGACAGCTCAGGGCACTATTAATAGTTTATGGGGAAAATGAGATGGAATGTTGGAACATTTTGTAGGTCTCATGGTGACTACCAGTATGGCATAAGAGAATACTGGTCTCATTGAGTTTACCATCTTTTTTTTTTTTGGTATGTCCAACTCCTTTTTTCCTTGTGTCCTCCATTGCACTTGCCTTGCAAATCCGTGAGAATTCCCTTTGTCTGTCTCCCTGCTTTGGCTGGTGTAGTCCTGTGGGAACTCTCAGCCTAGTTTTCCAGCCAGCAGATGCATTCATAGTTACCTAGAAATAAACCTGTTTGATGGTCAGTTGTGCACCATCTCCTAGCACTTCTGTGTACTTCTGAGAAGGGGGCTCCAGAGTCGTCCTTTCTTGAAAAGCAGAGAACAGGAGCTAATTTGCAAGTGTTTTAGAAATTATCTTAATATGAATTTCCCTTATTTTTGGGACCCACTTATCTTTGATTTCAGGGGGAGCAGAATTAAGCAGTTTAGGAAAATCCTTCTTTCCAGAAAATTTCTCAACACCTTGTGTATTGGGGGTTAAGAATAAGTGGGAAGGCAGAGTATCCCCTGTGTCCTTCCTGTGCCCCACACCTGCTAGCTCTTAAAAAGCATCTCTGTACTGACGATTGGCCCACCACACTGCATAGATCCTTTTTGTTTCAAGAGTCTGGGGGTCTCTAGTATATCTTTTCCACTTAGAGAAGTTTTGTCTGTAGCATTGTTTCTAAGTAGGAAAAAAGTTCCAGATAAAGGAGGAAGAATTATTCTGTTGGGGAGGAAATACTTTTTCATTTCCTAAACTATTGAATGAAGCTGAGCAGAAGGAAATACGTGTGCCTAGAAGAAAGAATAGAGTCAAAGTATTTGCTGTGAAACTGCCAAAGAAAAGAATTGCTCAGCAGAAAACTGGTCAGTAATTTTTAAGAAAAATGCCTTAAATGTAAGGCTGGTTTTCTCTTTAACAACTCTTTACAGTCATTTAACAATTTATTACAGTCTCCACAAAATTGTTACCTTTTAGCTAAATACTTCTGTCATTTTCAAATGAGGATTTTAGGGTCTCTGGTCCATTTACCCTTGGGCTTTTCCCAAGATAATCTTTGGACGCTTTGGAAAAGGCAAGCTTACCATTGGCCACTCTGTAGGAAGTATTTTGTATGTACAAGCATTTTTTTCCTGAGATTTTTCTCATTTGCAATTTTCTTGTTTCTTTCTGACAACTGCCCTTTGTTGTTCACCAGTGAGACCAAGCCTGGTTCTTAACTGTACCTTAAAACAGAAACAGGCCTCTTTTCCCTCTTGGTCCCTGACTCTTAGGATGATTTAGTACCTCCCAAAACACGTGGAATTTTACCCTATTTCCGTAGTTTCCAAGGACATGTTTATTTTGAGATTCAGAGTTTTTTATTTGGCAAATTTACCCCTGTATATTTGCTGGGTTTTTCTGAATGCACTGGTTTTATATTTGTTTAATTTCTTTTGCCTTTCCAGAGGGCTTTTAATATTCCTTTAGATCATCATTTTAGTTTTTTTTTTTTTTTTAAAGGAGAAAAAAATTGCAAGAGGGGAAAATGGGGTTGCCTTTTGCTCCCAAAGCCTAAATGAATAGTCATTGCTTGTAATGCTGGTCTACACTTGACGCTTCCTACTGCTTTAGATGTGATGTATCCGGTGCTGTGAAGGTAATGATCCTCAACCGCAGCAATATTCCGTAACAGGAATATCTGTCATATTCATCGGGATTACCATGTTCATTGATTTGTGTCTGTAAATCTGCTGTTCCTACCCTTTAAATTTGATCTATAATTGGACCTCCTTAAATGGTTCAGATAAGGTAGTCTGTATTTCCTCAATGCAGTGTTGCTGTCAGCTTCTCCTTTTTCATTATACATTCAGCAGACTTGATAAAATCAGCAGGACACCTCATTTGAAACTGTTTAATCGCTGCCTTTTTCCTTTGCTAAACCATTGAGGTGGTCAAGCGATGTACACAAATCATTTTAAATAGAAAATATGGTTTTCTCTGTGACCCAACTAAATAGATAGTGTTATGCAAAACAAGTTAAAAAGTAATAAATGCCAAAAAAATCTTCTAATTGGAGTAAAAAATTGTGGGCAATGCTGTCCTTTCTCCAAAAGTAGAGTATCCTGAAATATTGCCAGGACCCTGTATAGACAAGATGACGATTTTCTAAAGATTGTCTGGTTTCTGAACAAAGCAAGTTTAAATTTTGAAATAGTGCTGAGGTACCTTTTGTACCCATTCAAAGGGAGCTCACACTTATTTGTAATGCCTTTACATCCAACTTTGGTACGGATAAATTTGCTGTCTGTTAATATCAATGCAGCATAACCTTTCAGCCATTTGCTATTGTGATAATAAATTTTTGTTTCTTTGTCTGTCATTTTGTCTACTCAGCTGTTACTCTTCAAAGTACAAACTAAAAATAATAGCTCCAAATAAATGCCACATAATAAAGTGTTTTACAGTTGTAGCTGGAATAACCTAATGGCTGCAGCTTGCAGTCCTGTTACCATTACTGGTGAGGTAGTTTCTTCTCTGCATGTCAAGGTGACTCTGCCAGGGCCTGCTCATTAAAACAATGGATTCTTTTTAACTGGCTTGGTATTTAACACTGTACCCAGCATCCTGGCAAGACATAATATGGAGCACAAACCTCACAGCAAAGGATATGTGAAATTATATGGCATTCACTTTTTAAAAAATTATAAATTCTCCATAACCTCATTTTCATGCTTCAGCATTGCATTGTCATGATTTTCACTTAAACCTGTCAGTAGAGTAGGAGGGCTGCTTGCAGGTTTACCTAAGCTCTAGTGGTAAGTGTGACTCAAGGCTTTTGAATAGCACTGTTTTTCACCCTGTTGATGCGGTCCTCTAGGATTAATGTTTACACTGTACTTGAATGTGACACTGGGCATGTTTTGCTGTTTTTGTTGCCTTGAGGTAAATGTGAGCTGGAGAAGCTGGGAGTTGGTAAAATATACTAAAAGTGCATCTTTTTTTCTTACAGGTTCTGGCTCCTTGGCTGCGATGGCTGTATTTGAAGATAAGTTTAGGCCAGATATGGAGGTATGTAAGTCCCTGCAGTTCTCTTCTTTCACATATTTTACCAGTTGTGTGTTAAACATGTACAAATTGATTGCTGATTCCTCCTCCAGCATCATCCTTAGTTGCTGTGTTCTTTGGCACAGATAGTGTTTGCCAAGGAGACAGCTGGTTGGGAAAGCATCCTTTGTAGTAGCGCTGGTGTGCCCCTCTTGAGCTTGAGGAGCCAGCATTGTTCAGGTTTTTACTCTTATTTTTTGGGCTGTTTAGATCTCTTCTTGGTTATAGATGCTGCTACAGGAATGTTTTCTTGTGTACTAAGATTTCTGCAGCATGATATCTCAAGATGATGGGTTTTTCTGTTCTCACTAAGAATAGAGCAGCTATGTCCGTCTTTGTGTGCCACATAGACCTGACTTGAAATAAGTTCTAAAAGGTTCTAAAAATCCCTGTAGATTGCTTAGCATCCAGCAGAAGAGAGGACAAGATCGTGTGTGCATGGAGTCCTCTCAGGAGTCTCAGAGATTCTTTTACTATATTTTCTTTGGTAGTAGGGAAGGTGATATCTTGTAAATGGCATTGTGCCTGTCTGCTTTAATGATAGATGTGTCTCCCATTAAGCATCTCCCCTAACCCCTGGAATAACAAATCCGTAAATCTTCTGTTACTCATTTTAAAGGCGTGCTCAGTGTGCTTGCATGCTCATGGCACCACATTATCCCTCCACTGCACTGCATCCCACCACTAGACCACCATGCAGGCGTGTAAGTCCTGAAGGCAGTCTTTATCCTCTGTGCTTTCTGTTTCTGTGGTAAAAGTTTTGGTAGGGAGTATCCACTTGTTCTCAACAATTGGTAGACAGTTTAGGAATGGTTAACCTTTTCCCTTAATGTGTAGCTTTCTGGTACTTCTGACTTCGTAAGTATTTTGTTAAGGTACCAAAGGACATCTCTGAGAATTACTTTTTGACTTTGCTTTATGCTTAATTATCTTTGGGAAAGATCACATATTAAAAATATTTTGTTCATTGTCGTTGGAGTACTAAGTGTCATTGGAGCTCTGAAGTTCTCTCTGACTTTTAGGTTTGGGCCAAGTACTGTAAAAGCCAGAAAACGGAAGTCTGTAGGTGCTGATCAGCCAAGGCAGGGGTTTTTGCAGAAACCACTGTAGCTTTGGTACATGTGGGTACACAAATAAGTGACTTGGCCAGGGGACTAAATTTCTTTTCTTTTGTAGACACTTACAGAAATTAAAATGTATAGACTTGGGTAGGCGTTTTCTACTAAAAACGGTAGTGTTTTACTCTAATTAAGAACTGTAACCAGGGCTGAGTATATAAACCTGTAAATGAAATTAGGATTCTGTGTGTTCTCATTTCTCAGTGTGAAAATTTATTCCCATCTCCACTTTATTTTCTGTTGAAAGTTCTTAAATACATAGGGAAAAAATAATGTATATTAGGTCACTTAAAAAGAAAACAAGTTTCCTAGTTTTCTAATTAGAAGAATTTTAATGTCACACTCTTCTTTAAACCACATTAATCTTTTAAAATTTTCTTAACAGTTTTGTATATTCCCTATTGATTGGAATCTCTATATTAAAGAAAAATGAGAATTTTAGAAAAAAGTTGAAAGTAAGAGTTATATTTAAAGTGACAACACTCTGCTTAAGTGTGTTTTATACTGTTTAGAGTTTGGACTTGAAATGGTGCAAAGGCCATAAATTTAATATTGATATGATTTGGGGGAGAAAATGGAAATGTCAGCATTCCTCAGTAAAACTTCTGATATTATCAATCTGAAAATGTGTTTCTTAGATTAATTATGCCTATAACTCAGACCACTTACTGTCCTGTATTACCTGTGACAAGACCCTGAAATAGGTTGACTCAATTCCCATTTCAGATCAATTATATAAATTTATAATTTCAGGTTTTGTTCACCTGAGTTACTGAAATTTGCACTGACTATCTGAAAATCACTCTTAAAGCATCTCTAATATTAAAAGTGAACACCAGGCTAATATTGCAACAAGTGTCAGTAGATAATGTTGGTTTTTTTTTTTTTTTTTTTGTACTAATAGGTACTAAAAAACAAAAATCTTGGTTGAGGGTACAGTTCAGTGACAGAGCACTAGCCTAGCATGCATGATGCCCTGGGTTCGATCCTCAGCATTGCTAAAAATAAAATTATGTTGATATCATATAGAAATAATAGTATTTTAAGTATATTGGTTAAATAAAAACATTAGTAAAGCTAATTTCAGTAATTTTAGTAGTGACTTAAAAATGTCACTACTAAAAAAATTGGGGGCAGAGCTAATCTTGCATCGTTTGTCCTTTGCACACTGCATTTTTTCCTGCCATACCAGGTGCCACTTATGCTATTATTTTTCTTTAAAATATTCTTTAGCCAGGTGCAGGTGACTCATGCTTGTAATCCTAGCAACTCAGGAGGCAGAGATCAGGAGGATCATGGTTCACAGTCAGCCTGAGTAAATAGGACTCCATTTAGAAAATACTCAACACAAAATAGGGCTGGTTGAGTGGCTCAAGTGGTAGAGCACTTGTCTCGCAAGCATGGGCCCTGAGTTCAAACTTCAGTACCATAAAAAAAAAAAAATCTTAAATTTTAAAATAAGTTGAGGTATAATTTTCCTTTTATAAAATGCACAGAGTAAGTATACAGGCAGTGGGTTTGGCATTTGTAATCACAAGTAACTGTCACTCAAAATGCAGAACATTTTCTTTACCTCTAAGTGCCCCTTTCCATTCACTTTCTGGTCTTTTTCATGACCACTTGTGTTCCCTTACTAACTTATATTTTTAAAGTCATGTTATGCCCGTGAAATCCTGGGTGCTTATTAGTAGAAACATATGTAAAGCTCAGGGGTTATGAATATTGAATTTTGGGGAACAGAGGTCACTTCTGCCATTATTGTCTGCTCTCCGTTCTTGGAACAGTCTGTTTTTGCTTGCTGTTGATTCCTCCCTGCTACTGGTATCTGCCAGTGGCTTCCTAATTTATCTGTAGCCGTGTGCTTCATTGAGTACACCTGTCCCACAGTTTGGTGGTTGTTTTCAGAACATGTTGCTCACTTGCCAGCGAGAGTGGGAGCTCCTTGAGGGCAGGGGCCATGAAACTATCTCTGTTCTTCAGCTGCCGATGTTTAGTATGTGCTTGTTGCATTGAGACAGGATAACCTTGAGCTAAAGCAAAGTCTGAATCATCAAAAACCACCTGGGAAATAGAGGGGACTTTCTGTCCTCCCTGTCTAGAGAGTGCCGAACATGTTTTTGAGATAATAGGAAGATAACAAGTGCACTTCTCAACAATGTATGGTATTAGGGCAGAGTCAGCAAAGCAGACACCCCGTTAAGTACTCAGGCAAAGGAAGATGGAGCAGAGGGAAAGTGCTCATTGGGAAAGAACAGGCCAGAGAAGCATTCTAGTGCAGCCCACCTGGGATTCTGAAGTGTCTAAGATGGGTCTCTACTGATTGAGATCATCCGAGCCAATGACTTGCCTCAAATGAAAGCCCTTGGTTCAGAGTTTAGAGAAAATGCCAACTAACCAGTGAGTTTAAGGCACATTAAAGGTCTTTAAAAATCTCATCCAGTTGTGGCCCAAATGCTTCCCAGAGTGGTTCCTTATCTTTTATTTTCTTGTTTTTACCCTTACTGTTAGCCTGGAAGTTTGAGAGGAGGGATAAATTTATATTCCTTCTCTTTCCTTATATACAGTGTGGTCACTGGTACTTAGTAGGGTTCAGTCAGTATTTGTTGACAGGTGTATTAAAGGGGGTCAAAAGCAACATTATGTAGTAATTCTCAGATTAACCCTCCTATGAAATGGCTTGGTAACTCCACCTTTAGTGTTCATAGTGCTCAGTGCCATAGAAATGGAAGGCATGAAAAATTATATTGGTGATAGGTCTCATACATTATTTTTATCAGCAAAAGTGCTTAAACATTATATTAGAATAATGGGGTTTGAAATGTGTTGAGTTGAGCTAATGACAAGGGGTCAGTTATATGAGAGGTGTTTTTGGTGCCATTCCTCAGATTTTTTTTCCTCTGTTGTTAAGGCCACTACAATAATTAATCCCCTGATGCCAGTTGTTACCCACAGAGTAACTGGATGGGGACACTAGTACTAACCGTTGTGTTTCTATTCTATTTTCCAGTTAAGCGTAAGGGATGTGACCATACTATTTGGAAGTAGAGTGCTAATTTGGAGGTTTGTGTCTTGAAAATGCTGAAATTGCTAAAATAAAATGCAGATTTTCTCAGAGTGGCGAGGGAATAAGAAAATGAATAGATAACTTAGGTTAGTTCTCCTTCCATTCCGTTTCTCTATAAGGACTGTTTTCATTTGGCCCAGTGAGAAATTTAAACTCTTGAAGATTAAAATTCATTAAAATGGGTAGAAGATTAATATTTAGTCCGTCAAGATCAATACTGCCCCTTCTTTGCACTAATTGTCAGAATACTGTGCGAGGGCTGCCGAAGGGTAGTGGCGTGCGGCAGGACCCTCACATCACAGGGAATGATTCAAAGGCAAACTGTCCTGCACCCTCTGGTATCGACTTGCAAATTAGCATCTGGAATCTAATTAAACAAGCTTAATGAAAGTAGCAGCTGAATGCTGCTGGAAAAGACAATCAGCTTTTTACTCTGTCTCTGATACATATTCTGTACTATTGAAGTTGGTCACCAAACACATCATGTGAGCACAGTTAAAAAAATTAGCATTTATTTGAAGAATAGAAACTGTTTTTCATTCTGTTATGCGTTTGGCATGCTCTGGCGTCCCATGAGAGCCATGCCACAGCAGATAGTGCACAATATTTATAAATCCATGACAGGCAATAATAGCAACTTGAAAAATTCTTTTGCTAGAATCTCAAGTTGAGAGCTGCCAAAAGCTGAGAGGATCAGATCTGCAGTGGCAGCTGCTGTGCCCTACAGTTAGAATTCTAGACTTTGAAGATGCTCAACTTAAAGCAATGAAGACTGCGGGCTT